AATACACACAACAATCCCATGATTCCCCATATTTTCCCATCCTTTTCGGGATCTTCGTCCTTCCCCCCACTTATATTTTTGTCCTGGGGGTCGACGATCAATTGTGTCTGTGTGTTTCCTTCCTTCCTGCCTCTTGGCAGTGAAGACGGCAGAAAACGTTCAACCGAAACGGTCACAGCAACTGCCCACCGACACGTCCTGGGCGACCTGCGGCTCCGAGAACCCTTTGTTTGACCGGCTCGAAGACGGTGCGGGTCCCGTGCAAAAGCGGCGACATGGACCAAGCCCCCACCAGGGGAAGCGAGAACGGTGAACAGAGAGAACGTCCACGAAAACGGGCGCGGTAACCAACCAAAAACAGCTCAAAACTGGAAGGAGCCGTCCTGCCCCGAGCTCCGGACCTCGTGAACGCGGTGCTCTGGAGGCCGTTGAGGGCGCCTCGGGAATCCTCTGGGGGCACCCTGGGCCGGGGACACCCGTGGCAACACCCGACTGGTCCAGCGGCGTGGCGGCGATCTCGGAGGGCGCCCTCGCGGGCAGGCTCTCCAGGAGGCCCGGGCTCCCTGGGCGAGCCGCCGACTCGCGCGGGCTGGTGGCTGCGGCAGGGTCTGGCGCCGCCATCGGGGGGAGCAGAGGGCGGCGATCGCCGCGGTGGTCCCGCGGCCCGGGGGCGGAGGGGGGCAGAGGGCGGCGACGGCAGCGAAGGCAGCTGTCGGCGGTGCGCGAACGCCGACAGCTGGGCCGCGCGGGACGGGCGCGCGGCTTGATCCCAAACAGGTGCGGAGGCGGGACGAGGACGAAGACGACGACACGGGGACAAGGAAGCAGACGATAATGAGAACGAGAAAGGCTTCTATGAAAGCCTGCCAGTCTGACAGATGGGCGCGATACACCAAAATGGGCACACCACCAGCTGGAGAGCTTGCTGCAGGCAGCTAGGCACTATCATGCCCAACCAAAGGGAGTCTCACCCTGGGCACTGTGTGGCTTCCTCTCCCAGGGGAAGTGCCACGAAAGATATGCTAGCAGAGCAGGGCCCCCCCCAGACAGTGGCCCCACACACACACACACACACACACACACACACACACACACACACACACACACACACACACACACACACACACACACACACACACACACACACGCACGCACGCACGCACGCACGCACGCACGCACGCACGCACGCACGCACGCACGCACGCACGCACGCACACACACACACACACACACACACACACACACACACACACACACACACACACACACACACGCACACGCACACGCACACGCACACGCACACGCACACGCACACACACACACACACGCACACGCACACGCACACGCACACGCACACACACACACACCACACACGCACACACGCACACACACATAGCAGCAGCAGCAGCAGCAGCAGCAGCAGCAGCAGCAGCAGCAGCAGCACGCGAGCTGTGGTGGCAGCTGGAAGCGCGCGGAGGCAGCTGGAAGCAGAGGGCAACCCGCACTCCGAGCGCAGGCACGACGCAGCACGTGGCAGTGAGTGCACGCGCGTGGCAGCGAGCGGGGCGTGGCAGCACGAGCCGGCACAGTGGGCCACGCCGGCGTCTGAGGCCCCGCCGGCACGCACGGCCAGACTGTCGGGCCCGAAGAGCCCTCCGCCAGAGCACGAAGAGGCCCTCCGCCGGCCAAACACTCACCGAGGCACGAGATCACAGAGGCGACCCTTCCGCTGCGTCGCGCGACCTTCGCTGCGTCACCTCATCGGGGGAGCCACGGGGACGCCCCAGGTGCAACCCTCGAGGCCTTCGGCAGCTCTCAGGCCTTGTCGGTCGCGCGGCCTGGCCTCCGCAGCCCTGGCCCCCCCGGCCCCGAGAGGCCCCCGAAGTACAGCCGACTGACTGACTGGCGCACGAACGGGCGGACGTAGCCGAAACGATGCCCAGCGCACGGCAGTTCGGGCACGGTGTCCGAGGAACCGTTCTGCGACATCAAGATGCCAGCGCCATCGATTCGTGACGCAACCCTTAACAATGATAGCGTTCAAGACGAAACAAACGTTCTGCAGAGAATCGAACAACGAACATGCTGCAAGCATGTTCTTTCCCGTCGAACTCCCGAACACAGGCGCCAAACTGAAGAACATTCGAGGGTACCCTCCCCCAGGATGCACAAGAGCATCCAACACAAACACGAAGAACATTAAGGTATACCCTCCCCCAACGGGCCTCGGTCTGATGCCTCGGTCCCGATGAAAGAGAAGGTATGCATTGCGGTTGAGCGGTTGGTTTTCTACTCCGCGCCCGCTGCAGGCTCCCACGTCGCCCCAGGAGAGGGCGAAGAGCGGGCGAGAGCTCCCCCTGAGAGCGCGGCGAGAGCGTCGGCCATTGGGTGTCTGGCATCGTGAGGGCTCCAAGATGACCCGAAGATGCTGCCAAGATGGCACAGAGAGGGCCCAGGATGGTCCAAACTACCCGAGCGCACATCAAGACGGCCCCAGAGGACTGGAGAACCTCTCCTCGGAGGTTCCCTGAAGGCCCAAGTCATCGAAACAATCTTTGCTGTTTGCTGTCCTGGGCCTCTGGGCCCTGGGGTGGCCCGAAGAGGGCCTCAAGAAAGCCCCAAGCGGGCACAATACCCCCCAATACCCCCACGGGCCCAGGACGGCTCCAAGAGAGCCCCAAGGGGGCCCAAGAGCGCGCCAAGACAGCGGGCTGATCTGTTCCAGGCCTTCAGATGGCCCCAAGATGGTACGACAGTGGCCCCACGATGGCCCAATAGAATCAGCCCCAAACACCATGGACTGCATAGACATCTGAAAATGGCCTACTGTGAACGGAGGGCGGGGTCATCGAACACACCCGTGCTTGCTTAGTTGTTGCTATGGCTTGGCAGTGCCGACCTGGATGGCTCAAATGGGCTTCTCAGGTCCGCAGCCGCCCCAAGAGGACCCAGAGAGCCTTTGAGAGCTCCCAACCTGGGCTCTACAGGAGGGCACCAAGGGAGTCACCAAAGGCTCCCAAAACGGCCGAAGAGCGCGGGCCAGCACGTGTCGAACAGTACCCTGGCCCCAAAGGTGGCCTCGACAGCCCCGGCATGACACCAAGATGGCCAAGCAATCATCGTCCTGGCTGCCCCCTCTTAATTCAGCAGGGACCGAACGTCCCGGCATTCCTATAGGCCTACCACGACATGTTCAAAGAACCCAGACATGTTCTCAGAACCGAAACAATGTTCTCATAACATGAGACCGATGTATGAAAAAAAAGACAACCCCCACAAACAATGTTCTAAGAACATTCCGTGAAAACCACAAAAGGCTCCCAGAACATCGTTTGGTAGGCCTATAATCGGGTTCCACCAAAGGGGGGGGCCCTGAGGGGGGGGGGGGGGGGGGGGGAAAAAAAAAATAAAAAAAAAAAAAAAAAAAAAAAAAAAAAGGGGGGTGATTTCGATCAGTGTCGCATCGGCCTTTCAAAAAAATATGCCCCCGCGCGCCCCCGATTGTCGAACATTCTCTCGAGGTTCCAGCGGCGGCCGGGGACTCGGTTTCACGCTTGTTCTGCCGGTTCGAGCACCCGCGGACCCCGAATACACCCCACCAACCCTGTGACCCCCCCCCCTTGCGAGGTCCCGATAGAGGCACGCCAGAACGCATCGCCACTGCTTGACTTAAGGGGCCCCTTGGCCGCCTGGAGCGGTCTCAGCGCCCCCTCGGGGCGCCCAGGTGCGGAGGCCGCCCGGGGCCACCCCGGGGGAGGCCCGCCAGGAGGGCAGGTGCAGGGGAGGCCAGTCCACAGGGACACATCCACAAGAAGCCCAACCCTGAACATAACACCGATGTGCTAAATCAAGACGGTCTCAGCCAGAGATGCTCTAAAGAACATATTCGTGGAAACCACAAAAGGTTCTTCGAACATTGCTTGGTAGGCCTATAGGCCACAAAAAACCATCCACAAGAACCCAACCATGAGACACCAGGCCCTCCGTGGACTTACCCGTCGCAGAACCATCGACACCCAAGAGACCCAGGGCACCCTGGAGGCGAGCAGGGTGCTTCTTGGCAGGGGCCTCCATTGTAGGGCGCCCAGGTGCTGAGGCCGCCCTGGGCCAATCCGAGAGGCCCGTCAAGAGAGGAGGCAGGACGACGTTCCTCCTGGTGCATCACCCCCAGGCTCTGCTCAAGGACCGGGGCCGCCAGCCCCGTGAAGGCGGCTGTGAGGTCGCGCTGTGACGCCTTGCGCGGTGAATTCTCGGACACCGCGGGGATCACTCCACCTTGAGCGATCGCGGCTCTGCGAAGGGCGGATCGTCGATACCAGCCGGCTCAAACCCACTGGCGGCGTTCAAAATTTCACGCCCGCGCTGGGGTTGCCGCCGCGTCGACACGACACGGACCTACCGTCATGAATCACAGCGTGGACTCCCGGAGGTCTAGACCCCTTCCGCGGAAACGGCTTTTCATCTCGAGTCGTTTGTCGAGGGCTCCTGGGCCCCGAAAGGACCCCCTGAGGCAGATTGGTGAAAAACAAAAAGCTACAGCCTAAAAGAACATACATAAAGTTGCCACTCAGGATTTTTGGGCCAGCTTCCCAGAAAAGCCTTGAAACACGCCTGGGCTTTCTTCTGCTGTTAACGCAGGAGGGCGAACGTGCCCAAGAGATTGGGCCAGCTCTCCGGCAAGCCCGTTGAGAAACGCTGGCCCAGCTTTTCGGGCAGAGACTGCCGAATCAGATGCTCGACTGTAGCCTCGCCACTGCTGCACGGCGCGCCGAACTGTGGGGAGCATGGGGGCCACGGGCCCCGATGACGGGGACGCACTGGCCTGGGTCAATGCAAGCCCGGGTCAGTCAGGGGTCAGTCCGGCTTTGCAGGATCCTGCAGGATCCTGCGCCCAAGCCCAGGTAAGTGCACCCCTGGCCCTGCAGGATCCTGCAAGGTCCGGCGCCCTGGCCGACCCCCGTTTGCATCGACCCCCGTCTCTTGAGCCCCGACGGTGGATCCTTGACGCCCTCCTCCTCCGGGTCCGCAAGCTCGGCGAGATACCAACTCTGCTGGCCCTCCATGAAGAAGAGCCTCAGGCTCGCCTCCTCGCCTCCGCCGTCAGCGAGCACGTCGGGAGGCCCCGTCGCCCCCGCCGGGCTGGCCTTCCCCCTTCCCCGTAAGCCTCCTGCGCCGCGCCCCGAAGCGACCGACCTTTTTCGCTCCACTTCGGCTCGCGTGGCCGCCTTCGGGCCCCGAGGCCATCGAACAACGGCCTGGGGCGAAAACCATGCCCCCCTCATGTTGTCGACGCCTCCGCGGTGTGAGGGGAGGGGGCACATCCAAGGCGGGCCCTGCGACATGGAGCCCTAAGAAGGAGGAAGCCCTGAGCATTGCAGATGCAGCCTTGAAGCCCTTTCCGATCCTCAGGGGCACATCCCTGAGAGGAGGAGGAGGAGGAGGAGGAGGAGGAGGAGGAGGAGGAGGAGGAGGAGGAGGAGGAGGAGGAGGAGGAGGAGGAGGGGGAGGAGGGAGGAGGAGCGATGGAGATGGGGAGGAGGAGGAGGAGGAGGAGGAGGAGGAGGAGGAGGAGGAGGAGGAGGAGGAAGACGGGAGGAAGAAGACGAGGAGGAGGATGGGGAGGAGGGGGAGGGCGAGGATAGGAGAGGGCTCGCCCAACGAATGTTGTCGAACATCGCCAATTTCGACCCCACGAAAGGATGATGATAATGATGATGATAATGATGATGATGATGATAATGATGATGACGACGACGACGACGATGATGATGATGATGATGAGAAGGAGGAAACGGAATAGTTTGGGGGTGAGAGGGGATGAGGAGGAGGAGGACGAAGAGGAGGAGGATGAGGAGGAAGTTGGAAGAGAGAAGCGGAGTCGGAGGAGAGAGGAAGAGAGGGAGGGAGAAGAGGAGGAACAGCGCAAACCAAAGACTCACCAACGATGTTGCAAGACGCCCTCCCTCAAAGTTCCCTCTTCGTAGGTCCCAACAGAATGTTTTTTTCACTGAGGGATGTACCCCGTTGGATGACAACCGTTCGAAACTCACGAACCGTGCCAAGACACCGTCCCTGGGACGTCAACGCCGCAAATCAAACTTACTGCTGCGTCCTGGCGATCCTCCATCGTGCCGGAACACCATTCCTGAGACTTCCACACCGCGAATCCACGTGACTGTTGCGTCCTGGCAGTCCTTCTGTGCACAAGAAGACAATTTCTGGGACGCCAGCCATCAGAATCCTTGAAACTCTGAAGACGGATGTGTGCGGCACTAAGGCGAGAGCCACATTGTGATTTAACTGGCCCCCAAAAGTGAAGCTCATGGAAACTCCTAAACCGTACTTGCGCGGCGCTGAGGAAAGAACCATATGTTGAAAACCGCGAGCCCTCCATCTGTGATGTTGTGGCAATTGTTTGAGATGACTGCGCGCGGCGTTGAGGCGAGAACCCCATTTTCAAACGACCCGCCCTCCATCCGTGAAACTGCTGCAACATTTAATTACAGTCGGGCCGCTGAAAGAAGGAACGCTAAACAAGGAACGAAGCCCCTTCTAAGCCCTGTAAGCGCCTCCGAGCCCCAGGAGGGCAAGCGGAACAGCACTGGAGGAACCTAAGGAACATCGAGCCCCTTCCGAACCCAAACTGTGCCTTATTTCAGCGTCTTGACTGTATGCGTACCGAGCATAGAAGGTGAGGAAATCTCAGGTGAAACGCCTGGCCTGCCAACCCGACACGTTCCGGAGTGCGACAGGGCGGAGCATCCAGAAGGAGAAGGGACGGAGGAGACGGGGGAGGTGGAGAAGGAGGGCCAGGAGGAGGAGTTGGAGGAAGGAGGGGGAGAGGAAGAGAGCGGAGGAGAAGAGGAGCAGAAAGCGGAGGAGTTACGGGAGGAGCAGGAGGAGGAGGGGAAAAGGAGGAGGAGGACGGGGAAGAGGAGGAGGAGGAGGAGGAGGAG